ACATCTAAAGGTGGAAGTGTAGTGTTCATTCATTCAGATGTATAGATAGGTTAGTACATCTAAAGGTGGAAGTGTAGTGTTCATTCATTCAGATGCATAGATAGGTCATTATAAAATAACTACTCTAAATCTAGCGTTCTGATTTGTTGGGAGCGCGTGCCTTATGAGAGCACACAGCACGCTTGCGGACTTTCAGTTTCGTAATCCATGTAATTTGTATTTTATTTTTTATTTGTGCTACGCGTCGTGCTTCTCCTAACACTCCTCTCGTATTTTGCCAACCCCGAGTGCTTCATAACTGCAGACAGCACGCGCGCGCGTTTTCTATTTCTTCAGTACATATAGTATATGGGTAGGGAAATGTTGTGTGACGAAGCTAAAAATGTCTGCCTAGGAAATGACGTACCTCCTTTCTTGTATCGAAATGGTTGTGATCTTCTAATGTTGTAACTCTTCATTTTTTCACACAGGTCTTGTATCGCGTTGAGAATGACTTTTTCCCTATACAAATTTAGGTACCATCAATTAACGATGCCAACAATGTCAGATTTTCTTCAGTGAAATCCTCATACCCAGTTTATTATGACAGCTAGTATCCCATTTCCGTGTCCTATTCCCAGTACACCAACTCAAGTTTTCCAGTATAAAATCAAAAACATTTGAAAAATTTAATCTCAATCCTAGGGCCCTATTGATTTAGGAGTATAAACCCTTTCAAATCATCTTGGATGCAAGACTAACTGACAGAAAAATGAAATTCCTTAGTTTCATCGAAAAAAGGTGTGATTTTTTAAATGTATTTTCATGTTAGCCTTGCATCCAAGATTATCTTTTAAGTACGAGAGTCAATATCCACCACTACAAATAACTGGTCAATAATTTTCCCGGGGTGGGGACGTAGAAAGCACTACACCATTTGGGGTTGTGTTCAACCTCTCCTACAGCAAGTTTTAGTAAGGTAATTACTACCATATAACTACCAAATGGCTTTCCYCTATGAGCCAATCAAATGACGAGAAAATCTACGCCATCCAATCACAAGCTAGAAGTAATTTAAGAGTAATATTTTTCACCCCCTCCCTCCCCATACTAGTTGCTATGACTTTATATGATCCCTTACTCTTTGTAGTATATAGGAGCTCTGTTTGGTCGTTCTTGTCGTATTCTTCCAAGCTTGGACAGTCTTTCTTCTAGCTCTACGACAAGTAACCTACAAACTAGAATTAATACAGACAGAAAACACGTGAAGAAATATTAAATCAACATTAATAAATATCGTTATATTATTACTGTTCTATTGAGAGTTAACACGCGATTACACGAAGCAATTTTTTTTCTTTGCATTTCGTCTAGCAACAGCTTGGAGACACAAGTTGCAAGAGTGTTTACACCACGGTGCAACGGTGACTCAATCGTTGCCAAAAGTAGAAACGAATTTAATTTTGGCAACGATTGCTGCAACTTGTCTCGCAACATTTTTCAAATTGCGCTGTAGGTTACACGCTGCAATGTTCCATGCAACTTGCGCTAGCAACGCCGTTGAAGAAAATTGCTTCGTGTCATTGCGCCTTTAAGGTTTTGCTGGTTTTAAAAATGGTTTATTTTCTGCACTCTTAAACATGCTAACACCATAAATGTCATTAAACAAGTGTTACTTTTAATTGCAAGGTAAGTTTTGAAGAAGTGCACATGATCTATCTTGTAGCTGAACAATAGAATAACGGTGTATAATCAGCTGCAAAGGAAAGTAAATTAATATATATTTCCTGAATTTCAATGAGCAGAAAACGAATGGAATTTTTGTCCCATAGATAGATAGGATAAATTTTTTTCATTTTGTAAAAAAAACCATTTATACGATACCGTGACATTTAGTCGGTAAGTGTGTAGTCATCTCGTTTTCCTCTTCTGGTGCGTCGTCTTCTGTAACATCATCGTCTTTGTAATAAACTTCCTCGTCATCTTTATCTTTTCCGTCTTGTGTTCGTCGTTCTTCTGTTATTCTAGTTTTCTTTGGTACCATTATTCCATCAATTAACTCATAATCATTATCTGAAATTTCCAACTCTGAACCTCTACAAACGACGATGAAAAACAAGACGATAAAAGATATCTTCATTTTTAAATATTTAAAGAAAGAAATAAAGTAAAAGAATTATGCTCTTTCGAAGATTAATTGTAAGATTGTTTATAGGTTGTTGTTTTCTTTAAGGCTTTTTTTTAATTATCCTATTGTTAAACGTGACTTCTGTCATGATTCAGAATCCTGTTCGGTTTTTGTCGTGTGAGAAAGCCATTCGATGTTACGACCGCTGAACAAACACCGCTGACAACACAAAGAAGTGTTTATTACAAACAAACAATGCACTTGAATTTAGATTAAAAAATTGTATTGTAATTGTTTTAAATTAATTTCAAAGATTGAGAAAATTATATCCCCTTTTAATTATAACTTAAAATTCTTAGAAAGTATTAAACTTGGCTCAGTTGGTCAATGCGTCGTAGATGGGATGTCGAGTGAGTCAATCGATCGTTGAGTCCGGTATATCTTACGTGAATTTTTCTTTTCTTCTTTTTTATCTTTTTCTCTCACTGTCTCTTTTTTATTCTTTTCTGTCTTTTTATTTTCATCTTTTTTTTTTTTNTGCAATTTTTTCTATCTAAAGTTTAGTTTAAAACGTCTAAAATCACCTGGAACAATTGTTCAACACCCCTTTTCTTGAATTCAGTTGCAAATTTGATTGTAACTTAGGTTTTCACTTGGAGCGAGAATGTTTTTGAAAGCGTAATTCGCATCCGTTTCTTGAGCAATTTTTAGACCGACACGGGGTGAAATCGTTTTTTTCAAAAAAATCCGGATTTTTTACGTAGATCGAAAAACCGACCCCAGTACGTTCATAAACTCATCTAATAGTGTCTACAGACCAAAAATGAAGGACTTTTATTTTTTGACTGTGGCCGCCCCGTGCTCGATATTTCTGGACAGTCGCTCTTAATCCTTTACTTTTCTTTTCGTATTTCTTTTATGATGATTGTAAAATATCTATTAACCATTAAATGAAGTATTACTTTTTAAGTATATCGTGGAGAAAGAAGAAAGAAAGGAAGTACTATTAAAGAGAAGGAAGAGACAAGAGGAAATTCCAACTAGGTTACATCCCACACGAAAGAACAGATCATTTTAAATGACSTGACTTTATATAAACACAATATTTTGACTCATTAAGATACGCCTTTTTACTGCTTCATTATCAGTGGCGTGTGTTTGAGCTTTGGTATTTCTCCATTTCAGTGAGATCAAACCGTCAACACTATTTCAGGTTTTTATTTCCTGAATGTTCTCTGGGGCTTGAATGAGCCTTCAAAAAATAGAACAGCCTAATTAAGCCTGTATTTTTTGTTTTTAAATTAATATACAAATCTTAACTGTATGGAGTTCCTAAAAGAACAGTTTACATATCGCTAAAAATGACAGATAGAAAAGCTTTATAATTCTATAGGTGCTGTGACGTAAGCTATTTTCATTCCTATGCCTCCTATKTTTCCATGCCCTCTAGTGATTTGGTGGAAGTCAATCACAAGGCTTTTCCATAACATTGTCGGGAAATACAAAGCTATATAAGGGCACGTGTCTATGGAATGGCATGGAAACGCCTTGATTGACGTCCGCGAAAAGTTTTTTCGTCGCAACAGAAACAATCGCTAGAGCTACACGAGTAGTTGAAAATGGCTGTAAAGCGCAATTTCTTCAATGTAAAAAAAAGAATATAATAAAGAATCGTTTAAAAAATCAATTTTGTGTAGATGGAATTAGGCATTGCGCATGTGTAGATGGGATGAAAATATTCAATATAAAAAATGTACATCCCACATTGTATTCCAGTTGGAACGTCTATAAAGTTTGAGTTGTAACTYTAATTCTGGCTTGGTCATAGTGATACCTTGTGTTAGGGTTAGAACCCTAATCAGCTAGGGTTATGTGCTAGGGATCTAACCCTAACCCTAATCAAAAGTTAGGGTTAGAACCCTAACGCAAACCCTAATCAGCTGTGTATCAGGTATGTGCCCTTAAGAATCTTATTAAGAATCTTGGATAGATACTAAATGTTTGTTTATAGTTGTCTAAGTTGTCTAGACTCTTGAATATATACTAAGTGTTTGTTTTAAGTTGTCTAAATGTCTAAGTGTCTAAGTGTCTAAGTGTCTAAGTGTCTAAGTGTCTAAGTGTCTAAGTGTCTAAGTGTCTAAGTGTCTAAGTGTCTAAGTGTCTAGTGCCTAGAGCCTCCATTATCCCCAACCAACCTCCCTGTAATCAAAAATTTCATCTACCTGTATAATACCGACTTCACTAACCATATGGGATGCTGTTTTTTTCGTTGCTCAATTTCAAACCGCACATGAGCAGTACGGAAAAATTGCGAGAAATTAAATTCCCTTGGGATTAAAAAAGCAGGAAAAGGGTCGACTACTATACGTTTAATAATATGGGATGCGAAGTTGACTGCAGCAAACTGCAAAACGCACATGCATGAGCAGTACGAAAAATTTGCGAGAAATTCAATTCCCTTGGGATTAAAAAAGCAGGTAAAGGGTCAACTATTTTATTTTTTACAATGTGGGAAGCCTCTTAACTTACAGCAAAAATATGAAACTCTCATGCGCAGTACAAAAATTTTGCGAAAAAGTAATTTCCCTTGGGATTAAAGAAGCAAGAAAAGGGTCAACTAATTTACGTTTTACGATGTGGGATGCAAGTGTTACACTTCTTTACCTACAGCAGAATAGAAATCACACATGCGTAGTTCAATAAAATGACCTGAAATTCAATTCCCTTGGGTTTAAAAGAGCAGGAAAAGGGTTAACCAATTTTCAGTTTACAATTTGGGATGCTTGTGTCTTGGCTCTTTACCTACAGCGAAATAGGAACCGCACATGTGCAGATCAATAAAATGACCTGAATTTCAATTCCACTGGGAATATAAAATCAGGAAAAGGAATCAAGTGACTTACGTTTTACAATGTGGGATTCGATATTTTTTGCTGCTGCGCGCATGCGCATTACCTTTATCAGTATCTTTATTCTTTATATTATTTCTTTATTCAGTACCTTGAAGTTTAATTGATATTTTTATTAGACACTTCCATATTACCATATAATATTTGCCATTTTATAGTCTACAATGAAAACGAAATTGAAATTCAGAGGAATAGACCTTGTTCGATCGTGGTGAAGCAATGTTTTCTCATTTCAGACCTCGTTTAATTCCCAAGATTAGCATTTCTTTGTTTAACGTTTGTGCATAAGACGACACATGAATATGGATACAACTCAAACAAATAATCTTATTCTTATGGTAATGACACGTGGCCTGCAATGGGCGGGAAAACACCACAACGAATAAGGTCTATTGTAATTAGCTAAACAATAAGCCAAAAAACTAAAATTATTTTCTACAATAGTTCATTTCCATGCTACCAAAATACTTCTCGAATTTTCTTTCTTYGACTGAATTTTTGTTGTTTTAAATTTACGAAATAACCTAACCAATATTTGACCAAAAGCAGAAATTCACTCATACCTTACTACTTCTATATCTATTTTATAAGAATTATAAAACCTATAGCTATGATTTCATTAAAATAGTTATTTGGTGTCCACAACTATCAGTATTCTTGTTATGCTTACACCAAATACTACTTGAAATCAAAGTGAAAATATGCTTTTTTCTCAAAACGCTCAAGGTTCAAACAGCTAGGTTCTTCCATGTGGGACCCAGCGAGACCCTTTCTCTAGACATTTTTATTAATTCTTTACAAAGACCAGAAATGATATAAATTTCAGCATGCTCAGGCGAAGTGACAAGAGGAAAAAGAGGAAATAGAACAAGATGAAAGAAAGTATAAAAGAAAGAAAGGAAGGAAACAGAAAAAAAGAGACCGATCCAAATAGACTGAACCACGACCTCTTGATCCTAAGTCCATTCATCACCCCACCTTCCTACGGATATGTTCGTTTTCTAGTTCTTTATATATTTAATATTTCTTGGCTTATATGGCTTGGATGTTAGAAATAATAATATTGGGTGCTCCTGTTCTTTTCTTCTTCTTATTCTTTTAGTCCTAGTTTTTTTTTTTTTTTTTTTTTTTTTTTTTTTTTTTTTTTTTTGTTCATCACTGGAATAATAATAATAATGATGATGATGATAATGATAATACAAAAATAAGATAATCAATTTATTAATAATTCTTTAAATTATTATAATTCTCTAATGAATTATATCAGAAATGAATCAATTACACTGATGACCATCAATTCACCCATACAACACCTAATAGGTTTTTATTTATACATAATAATATCTTTTTTCAAAATAAAAATTTTTTTAAAACGTTATAATAATTTTTTTTGTATTAATTTAATCAGCACTAAGACTTTCCTTGAAAAAATTATAGTTATCATACAAAACCTTTCATAAAATGATGCTTTAGATAATAACCTCTATTTGTTGCATGCATGTTCTACTACACTTGTGGGACCCCTTTGAACAATGCGCATGCTCCTAATGCGTGTGGAATTTTATTGCAAGTTTCTTTCAAGGTATCGTTTACGGCCTTCTGAGATGCATTCCTACATATCAACCTTACTATAAACTCTCTGATTAAAACCTTTGAGCTTTATTAATAAGACTTTAGTGTTGTCTAAGCTGTTGCAGATGTGTAAACAAAACCTTATACCATTCACATAATTATCCTTTAAACGATTACAATATTTAAATATTTGCATGTCTTTTTATGTAAAGCCAATCACAACATTACAGATTACAATACCTAGAACATTCACGTCACTACAACTTAATTCTATTATCTATAGATATAATTTCTTACGACGCAGACTTTTCGAGTACAAAGATCATTAGAATTAGTACCATGAAACTGTTGTGGATAACTTGTACTGTTCTTGGTCTGATGTTAAAAGTAAAAGCCGAAGAAAAGGAAGACAACGAAAAACCAAAAGTTAAAAACCCATATTTTACGAAGTTCCAAGGAACTGCTCACTTGAGACCGACCAAGTGTCAAGGTAGGATGTTCAAACTAGTTCAAACCATAGTTAATAAACATATTAATAAGAAATATTTCAGTTTCGTTAAGTTCAGGTTTACAATCAACCTGTACCATATAAATTTTTATAAGTCGAATTTCGTATAGGAGAATAGATAATTATACTATTAGAGAGTTTTAGATTGACTTTTTTTTCTCCCCGCAAACGGCAAACGTGCCGAGCACGTTTTCATAGTTTTCCTGTATTTTCCTGTTCTTTACCTTTTACAAACCTTCTCACCAAGCGCAAATATTCTTTTGTTTTTCTGCTACTTGGACTTTTTTGCGATTCTTTTTCAGTAATTTAAAAGAACTTTTTACTGATCAACTGACGTTTCACGTTTGCCGTGACCGTAAATCTAAAACTTTCTATTATTAGCTATTTCTCTCCCAGAGGACTTCTTTGTTTTTCTTATTACCAAAAAATACATGTATCATTTCATATTAAATTTCCGATTCCTAACAGTATACTTCATTTAATCACAGCGGAGGCATCATAGTGTTAACTAGTTTTATTTATTTAATCAAATGTATATATAATTATTTCAATAAAGTTAGTCACCTGAAAAGCTACAGAGCTGAGACCGACGAAAAATATGGGTAGATATATTATACATCTTTCAACCCTCGATAGCTATTGATGGACTCGAGATCTTTTACCAGTTATAGTCTCACCTTTTCCGAGCATCCTCGAGCTGCAGTTTGTATCAAAAGCTTTACTTAGTGTTTGACATGAAATGTTTCCCGTGAGCCTCAGCGGTCTCATCTTCGTACATGTTGTGTGACTCACTTTATGGAAATGAGTACATCCAGCTTAAAGTCGTTATAACCAGCTCAAGTATGATTTTAATCTTAAGTTAACGAAGATGTTTATAGTTTGTAGATTGTTAGTAACAGAGGTTAACGAAAAGCTCAAAAAGACCAACTCACCTCAAGTCATTCACAAAGGATACGATGAAAACCTTGAAGAAGATAGAAGAAACAGCATTGATTACCGAACATCGTAAGTACCTAGACTCTTCCACAGTCTCTCGCTCGTCCGTTCCGTCTCCACGCTTAGAGACTGTAACGGTACAACGACCGAAAGGACTTATGGGTCCCGAAAACTTGGACCCAGCGTGCTTTGGGAACCAAAATACTCGTCCACAGTCTCTCTCGTTTCAATATTTTCAAGATGGCGGCGAAAACGAGAGAGACTGTGGACGAGTATTTAAGTCCTTTCGGTCATTGTACCGTTACAGTCTTTAAGCGTGGAGACGGAACGGACGAGCGAGAGACTGTGGAGGAGTCTACGTAAGTACCCCACGTGCCCGATGGGAGATTGGTACTAGTCAATCCCCAGATCTCGTCTCGATACTACTACTAGAGTCCTTTTCGCGATCCCTTTTGTTGCTCTGATTGTCAACAATATTACACTCCCCAAGTAATTAAGATACTTCAGATCAGTGAGAAAAATAATTGAAAAAGGATTATGGTGGGCTCAAATTATCAAGACGTTATCAGAGGAAGGGATAACTAAGTGTTTTTTTTATTCACAGAGAGGTTAGACTGATGGAGGTATTAGATGGCTTATGTAACAGAATGAAGTTGTACCAGGCGAGAGCAGGGCCAGAGTTCCCTTACATAAGAGGAGGTATTTATAAAATGACAATGATGAAGGTGGTGGTGATGATGATGACTGATGTTGATGATGTCGATGAGGATGCTGTTGATGATGATAATGATAGCAATGATGTTGATGGTGATGATGATACTGTTGTTGATGATGATAATGATAGCAATGATATGCCTATCCCAATCTGGAGGCATAATACTAACATACTAACAAATCACTCATGATTGTGAGCTGCACGGCTGCTAATAGCGCCTTAATATGCAGCCCGTATTATACTGATTATAAATGTGAAGCGCATTGAGATATTTGAAATGCGCTATATAAGAACTCACATTATTATGTTGATGTTGATGATGATACTGTTGTTGTTGATGATGGTGATGATGACGAAGATGATGTTATATGAGGATGATGATGATTATAGCAATATTGGTGATTGAATGATAGCAATGATATTAATGATGATGCTGTTGATGATGATGATGATAGCAATGATGGTRGTGATGATGACCAAGATGATGTTGAGGATGATGATGATTATGATAGCAATATTGGTGATAATGATAGCAATGATATTAATGATGAAGCTGTTGATGATGATGATTATGATGATGATGATTACTACTGGTTATCTATCAATAACTCTGTTATCTATATACTCCAGCGAAGGGTCATCTTCGTGAGGTGTTTGATGATATTGCATCAAATTCCAAAGTCAAACTTAATTTTAAGCTTCCAGACGACGTCTTGGATGACTACACTCACGAGATAACCAGGGTCAAATTTGAGGTACCAAAAAAAAAACAAATATTAGAGAACGTCCATTAGGGCTTCTCAAAATGCTTTGTGCCTGGGATTCCTGTGTTAATAAGTAGCTATAACACTATTTCTGTTCATTCTAGTGTATCCATCTATTAGAACAAGTAGAGGAACTTATCGAGGAATGGTATTTTAAACACCAACATGAAGATTTGATGACTTGGCTGTGCGCAAAAAGAGTCTTAAAAGACRAAAATAAAGGTAGATACTACCCCTCTCCTCTCGAGCATCACCACCATCCCCACCCCTCCCCTCTCTAGTATTAACAATATCCCCACCCCTCCCTATTCTAGTATCCACACTATCCCCATCCCTCCTCTCTCAAGTATTAACACCATCTGCACCCCTCCCCTCTCGAGTATCACCACCATCCCCACCACTCCCCTCTGACGTATTAACAATATCCCCACCCCTCCCTACTCTAGTATCCACACTAGCCCCAACCCTCCTCTCTCAATTATTAACACCATCTGCACCCCTCCCCTCTCAAGTATTAACACCATCTCTACCCCTCCTTACTCAAGTATCCCAGTATCTACTGGTTTTACTAAGAGTTATTGAGTTATGTCGTTTATGTTGTTGCTCCTTATCCCCCAAACCTTCAAAAAAGCGTATTGTATGTGCCCGTCAGACTTCTCCCCTCTCAAGTATCCACATCTTCATTATCCCCACCCCTCCCCAATATCCACTGGTTTTGCTAAGTGTTATTGACTTTATGTTGTTGTTCCTTCTCCCCCAAACCTTCAAAAAGCGTATTGTATGTGCCCGTCAGACTCCATGGTGGAAAATTTCTCAAAATAATATCGATTGATTGCTAAATTTGATGTACATTGTCGTTGTTTATTTGTTTACAGATTGTCTTACTGCTTCTGATGCTATGCCATCAGACTATTATTCAGTGTTTGAGTCTGAAGGATCCTCGAACGACAGGAAACCCAAAATACCAATGACTGAAAACCATGTAGAATTATAAAAAACACCTTATAAACCTCTTTCAAAATTTTCTTATGTGCGAGGCTAACAGAAAAATATAAAAAAATTGCACAACTGAATTCCAACGAAAAAAAGYGAGTGTCATTTCTTTTAACCTTTTTTATATTTATCTAACCTTTCCTGTTAGCCTTGTACATGTTAGCCTCGATGTAAACATGACAATTTTGAAAGGTTGGCAAGTGTCTCCTCCCCCTTTTATTCAGTGACAAGAACATGAAAATAAACTTGCTTCACTAATACAATGTAGAAATTGCTCTTTTGTGAAGAAGTTAATAAAGTCAAACCATTTATTATTAGGAACCCGTTTTAGGACCCGCCATGTAGATGGCACTGGTGTAGTAAGCTTGAATTTTTTCATGGTTTATAGCTGGAGGCAATTTCTTGCTAGCAAGGTGGTTTATTGGCCTTTCATCGTTAGAAAGAAAGACTCACGTGGCACATAGGATTGTGGGAATCCAAAGTCAAACTTTGAAATCTAAAAATACTTTCAGTAACGTTATTTTTATCGTTGTGTAACTAGGGAACAAATGAGAAACGATAAGGTTTATTTAAAATGGGATAAAAGATATATAGCCAGAAAATTGATAGCATTTTTCTCAACATTTTGGTTATAAAAAATGTTTTCATGCTTTCGTAAACTTTAGTGCAGCATAGTGAAAGGTGCTATCTCTACATTCATCATCCATTGATGTACTCAACAAGGTTACCATCCAGAAGACCCTCACCATAATGCTGCATGTGGGAAAGGTGCTATCTCTACATTCATCATTCATTGATGTACTCAACAAGGTTACCATCCAGAAGACCCTCACCATAATGCTGCATGTGGGAAAGGTGCTATCTCTACATTCATCATCCATTGATGTACTCAACAAGGGTACCATCCAGAMGACCCTCACCATAATGCTGCATGTGGGAAAGGTGCTATCTCTACATTCATCATCCATTGACGTACTCAATAAGGTTACCATCCAGAAGACCCACACCCTAATGCTGCATGTGGGAAAGGTGCTATCTCTACATTCATCATTCATTGACGTACTCGAAAAGGCTACCATCCAGACGACCCTCACCATAATGCTGCATGTGGGAAAGGTGCTATCTCTACATTCACCATCCACTGACGTACTCGAAAAGGCTACCATCCAGACGACCCTCACCATAATGCTGCATGTGGGAAAGGTGCTATCTCTACATTCACCATCCACTGACGTACTCARCAAGGTTACCATCCAGAAGACCCTCACCATAATGCTGCATAGAGGACTAAGATGCTATCTCTACATTCRCCATCCACTGACGTACTCAGGAAGGTTTCCATCCAGGAGACCCACAAACGATACCGCATAGAGGAAAGGCGCATTGAAGAGACGGGCGTATCCATGCACAATACACTTGTCTGACGTCACCTCAATGTCGAGACTAAGCAAATAAGTTTAGATGGTGGTCTGCCCTTGTTTCTTTATTGCGCATATCCCAGATAATATGCAAGATAAACTATATATGACATTGTTATATATAGTTTAACTAGCACGACAAAATTAGCTTTATAAGAGATAAAATGCAACGTGACCCAGTACATTACATGTGATTCGGCATGAAACAAACACTATAATAGTGTTAAATATTTCWTTTTCTTTTTCATAATAGTAGTTTGTTTCAATAATGTATAGTAGGAGGTGACTGATTTCAATATTTTTTTCCATTGAAAACAAAAGCGGTTTCTGCTTCAAAACGGAAGCAACAGTTCCTAAGAAAAGCTGGTTTTTTTAACCACCTTCCGCTTGAATTCATTAGTCCCTATTAATCGTTTGTTCAAATTGTGAAACAAAACATTTCATGTTGCCCATCATTGCTTTTTATTCAAACTAATAATTTCCAAAAACAAATCTTTTAGCTAATTAATTGAAGTGAATAGTATCTTTCATTCCGATTTACCTAGTAATTTTCCTTGCATTATATAAGCACATTTTGTCTCTTTTTCTCCTTTATTTTTGAAATCTTTTAACTTAATTAAAACACTATTATTTATATCCCTAATTGCTATCATAACATCTGCTCCGTTATCGTAAACAGAGCGAACTTGCACTCTTGAAAAACTGGTTCGATTTTTTAGGCCAGATATCACATATTTATAGTCTCCTTTAATTTGAGGATTTTTGTCCTGGTTCTACGGTTTTCATTTATAGCAAAACCTTACACACTAAATTCTAATTCCGTTTGGTTCAGCCCAGTCTTTTTAGAGCTCGATAAAATTGATGGATTTTGTTTTTGAATTTGGATAGTAGAATTACTTTGATTGTTGTAAGAGCACTTCAACGATCACATCAGGAAGTTCGTCAATGGTTCATTAGTTACAACAATGTTTTGCAATCAATTTGGAAGTAAATATTAAGTGTTTTTTTAATTTAGCGATTMTAGAAGCCCCCGCAAAAGAGTGTGGTATAGTTGAACAAAGAACAATTGTAAATTATGGTATATATTAAATGGATTTTCTGCATTCAAGTCATTTGATCTTCAGTATATCATGCAATTGACGGCTGTTTCCTCTTAGTTCACGTTGCCTTCGGTAGTTGGTTTGCCTCTGTATCTGTCAAAAGATATCTTCACCGCAATGGCCAATAGCACCACAAGTCCAAGTTATAACGAATGCAATTTTAGCACCGAACGTTTTGACCAAMTTTCGACAAATCTTACTCAATCCTCCCGCGTAACCCTGTTGTCATTTGCTGTCCTCAATGGGCTGGCAGCTTTGCCAACATTCATGGTCAACTTGTTAGTCACGTGGACTGTGCTAGAAAGTCCACGACTTCGATCTTCTAACTACAACATCTTGGTCGCCATACTTTCTTTCAGTGACATGTTAACAGGTTTGGTGGGTCAACCTCTTTTTGTATCATTTTCTGCTTGTCATGCTTGGGACTGCGTTATCTCTTGCAAGCTTAAAGTGGCTTTCAGCGTAACGAGTGTACTCAATACTCGGTGGACTCTTGCGACTCTAGCAATTGTTTGCGTAGAGCGCTATCTCTACATTCACCATCCATTGAAGTACTCCAACAAGGTTACCATCCAAAAGTCTTTCATTACAGTGGTAGTAAGTTGGTTTACGGTAGCAGTAGGGGCGGCTGTACAAAAGATCGAGCATAAACACGCCTTCTTCGTGAGAAGACTCGTCGGTCTTACCTTTCTTCTGCCTGTCGTTGCCATCATCGTCTTCTGCTCCATAAAAATGCACCTAACCCTGCGCCGTCAGAGAAGAGCCATAGCCGTTGTGTTACCCCAAGGAGTAGCTTCGCGTCAGTCCAAAGTAAAAGAATTCAAGCGTATTGATGTCTTCCAAATTGCACTACTTATTTTTGCCTTGCAGTATTCCCCACTTGTAATATCACAAGTATTCTGGACTTTGAAAGGACCGGGCTTGGCTTCCAGTTTGAAAATAATTACATCTTCACTGACAGTTACCTGTATTTATTCGAATTCTCTAATCAATCCATTCCTATACTCTATCAGACTTAGTGATATCCGCAAAGGCGTGAGATCCAAACTACCAAGATTTAGAGCGACAGACTTGGCATCTTCAGTTGTTCGCGTAGATATAAATGCAGCAAATAGAGACGGTTGAAAAATTGAACTGAACCTCACTGAAATTTCTGGTAGAATTTGCTGGCAATAACACTCGACGTGTTCTGCAAGATGTAAAAAAAACAAACAAACAACAATGCTATATCACTGATGTAGAAGCGTAAATCTGGGAATGTCGTCCATACTGGGGCTTGCCTTCAAGCACATCAGGCATATATTAATTACAATAAAGTTAGTCACCATAAAACCTGGAAAGCTGAGATCACTGAGAATCATGGGAAACTTTTCATATCACAAAAGCATATATATATACAAAGCTTTTTTAATACAAACTTCAGCTCGATTATACTCAGAAGAGGTGAGACTGTAACCGGTAAAAGATTCGCAAGTCCATGAACAGTTATCAAGCGGTTAAACTTGTAAAATGAATCTACCCATAATCCTTGTCGGCCTCAGCTTTATAGCTTTTCAGGTGACTAACTTTATTGAAAGAAGTGTATATGTAGCTTTTTAGAAAATAGATAGGAGAGTGAGGTAGGAGAGAGTTACTGACATGCTATATGCCGTGCTCAGTCCAGGAATCGATCCAATAAAGATTCCAGAGGTGAGAGGGAAGCTAAGCAGACATTCAGGGGAAAAAGAAAGAAAATATGATCATCTGTCATAATAGATAGATTAGAATCGACAAATCGGACGTAAAAGGTTATAAAAAAATGCTGTCGCTTCTCTTAGGAATAACGTGTATTGTCCAGAGTCATGTTGCATTTTATGTACTTATTGACTGAGTTAGGTCGGGCCGTACGGGAAAATATTTGGCTCGGGGTGATGCCGTATGGACCGAGAGCCAAATATTTATATCTTATTTGGGTTTTTCCCGTAATACGGGCTGATATTTTACGAGTTGCGAATGTATTTTTCCGAGTCCCGTAATAGTCGTATAATAATTTCCCGTACGGCCCGACCTAACTCAGTCAATAAGCATTTTATCATATGACCCTCACGAAAAGAAAAATAATTATTATAAAGAAAGTCGCAGGTTTCGAGCAGGGTCGTGCGAATTCGTCACGTCATTTTCCCGAAGGTTCCCCCAAGAGCGCGCSCCCGGGCAGATACGGGTCATATGATAATATCTCTTAAGTGAGGGAAGGTACATTTTTTATTGGAGGGGGGAGGGTCGTAGCCCTCGTTTTTTCACTCAGTAAGGAATTCATCCCTCCTACTAAGTCAACATGGAAACAGCTTTAGTCAAAAGGAAAACTGAGGTTTGACTCCAAAATTAAATTTCCCACCTAATATCGATGATTMTTCCCTCTGAAGCCCCACCCCTCCTTCCCGATTATAGTTTCGCTCACCGTAGTTACCGTTGCTTTGYCAGTCGCACAAGCTCAAAAAATTAGCCAGAATATCTTAGAATTTAAAACTTTTATCCCGGAAAACTGCTCATAAATGGTTTCTATTGTTTACGCGTTTTTCACATCAAATCCTAGAAGATTCGCTGTTGTTATATTGATCRAAACTGCGGTTTCAAGTCTATGAGAACTGCGTCTCGCGTCGACTTCACACCTTGCGCATTTGCTTCTAGTGCTATAAATACTGTATGCGTGATAGCCAAGCTGTTTTTTAGATCTAGTGATGTCTTTAAAATTTTTTTAAATCGTATAGACCGTTTTCTCAAGGTTGCGTGCGCATCCAAATTTAAGGAACTTGACGGGCCACGATACCAGAACACGAACTTTATGATGAGTATTTATACARACTTTTTTCGATAAGAATTCAAAAAATCGATTATTCTCGTCTTTAAATATATAACTGGCTTCTCAATTTTACTGAATTTCCGTTTTTCAGTTTTGTGGCCCGTCAAGTTCGATGCCCACGCAACCTTGAGAAAACGGTCTAATTGCCTGTCGCTAAATATTAAAACAATTGAGTTAGCATATTCAAGGTATCAGGGTACCCCAAATGCTCAAAAGTATCGATTTTTACATTTTTACATTTTGCGATAAAATATATAATATTCTTCGATTTTCCCCCCCAAAATTTTTGATAGTGATTTTTAATAGCGAGTAATAAAAAATATACGGTTTGTGTCAACAAAGGCGCTTCCGTTCAGCCAGAAACATTTTTGCATTTTTCTCGGAAATGATTTTACGTTCAGTTACCCGTACATTTTGAGTCCGATGTCAAAGGGAATTTGACCGATTTAACTGAAATTTTGAGGAAGTCATCTTGGATAGTTGTTCTTCAAAAGTGTGTCTCCGATTATTTATTTTTTGCTTATTTCGAAAGTTATCGTGGATTTTGGCTTGCATACCGGTAATATAGCAGCGTCATAACTTTAAGAGCGTATAAAAAAGCAACGGTTTTTCCCGACTTATATCAGGTGAAATTCTATTTGAAACGATGCATTTTTATTGATTATCTAAATCTGGTTTTTGATTGTTTATTGAATATGATTTCACAAATATCGAGGTTTAAATATTCAGTTTATACTTATCGTATATATATATATATATTTTTTTTAATTCCGTAAATCCTTTATTTAGCCCTCCGGGGGGCTTATTTATTTCAGGCACGTTTGAGGAGGGGCTTAATTGAGAGGGGGGGGGGCTTATAATTGTAACTCAGAATTAAACGGAAGCATTGCTATTGACCGTCTCACATAATCTGTAGTGATGTACATGGCATTTTYATTATTTGATTCACCTGTGTTAGCTCTCAAGTATAATTTACGATTATCGTGAATAGCAAGGTTTCTCGAGGATGGACTAGTGGTTCCGGGGCGCTACACTGCAATTTCAACTAACAAGAAAACTTTAATAGTTCTTCGCAAAGAACTAGATCGCAGAGTAGAAAAACTTAAAGACCCATTGCCACTTACCGTGATGCACCGCGGTCACAGATGAATTTCGTGGTCCATGAAATTCAAAGAATCATATATTGAATAATAACGTCATATTAAATCCTTTTCCGACATAGTACTAAGGTACAATAATGATTCTTTTACATTCTTTTACGGCTTTAGGGACTATCTAAGAGTTTATTCAAAAGGTTGGAATTGCTTTTTCAGTGGTGACACGATTCAAAATGTAAACAAATTGTGATGCATCACGGTAAGTGGCAATGGGTCTTTAA